CTCATTGGCCATATATTCACTTCTTTTTTTCATTGTAGACTATCGTCATTCACTATGCAAATCATCATATTCTCAATTGACAGAATTCACATTGTTAGAACATAATACTGGATTAGTTATTGATGATATTAAATGTATTCTTGCTTATATGAAAAATTTAATCAAATTATCATTAAGTATTCGTAACACATTTGATTCAACATTTTGTCATGGTACGAAATTTGAATCAATATTAAATGAAAATTTATCAAATCTTTGTCAATTTGATTATACAATGACACATCAAATGGATGATAATACTTTAATAAAAAATTTTGTTCAATGGCCAATGAGTTTTGTTTTTTATGAAAATGAAAATTGTAAATGGGTACATATTTATTCATTACCATGGCCATCAAGTAAATATGATAAACGAGAATTACCTATTTTCAAAGATGGCTATAATACATCAGTTACATCAAATGTTAAAAGAAGTGAATATATGGATGATATAGTAATTACAAAATCCGATGAATTTTATCTGTTAACGACACAATTTCGTCGTGCTTGTCAAATAACAACTAATTTATCAATTGATACAATATTGCCATCACATATTTGTAAATTAATTCTTTCAAAAGAAACACGTAAGTATCTTTTATGAAAAATAAAATAATTGTTTATTAGAATGATTTAAGCTATAAGTTCAATAAATTCGTTGATTCAACCTTCTGTTCGTCATTTAATAGTTGAACGTCGTTTAATTGATGAAAGTGAAATATCAAATTTTACTCGTCAATTTCCGCATGTCAAATATGTCGAATTATTATTACCATTAGAAGAATCATTATTTGTTGCTTGTTTAAAGAATCTATTTAGTTTCGATAATGAAAAAGAGATACGTTGTTATTGGCCTCAATTAATAAGCTTTAGTACATGTGCCACTTTTAAACAATTGCAATTTATCTCCCATCATAAAAATTTACATTTATGGTTTATTAAAAACACTGATTTAAAGTATTATCCACTTCCATTTTCTTCTAATCTTTCTGGCCCATTGTTGTCTATTTGGTTTTGATTCCTAACAAATTTAAAAGCTATCTTAATAAACAAAAATAAGATAAAATTTTTTTAGAATTTCGAACGTGAAGGAGAAGTACTATATATAAATCTGAGGATAGTACGTCCTCTGAAGTTTTAATTACTCTGCTAAAAGTGTCATATAAGTTGAGTGTTAATAGTTTGTCGACCAATCGATTAGTGATCTTACATTATTATAACTTGGATTATCGTTGTGCCGCTGAAATCACTCGTCAAACGAAGATTTCTATGTGTACTATTCGGTATAATATGGTAGGGATTTGAAAGCAAGGTACCGTACAACATCGAGGATGTGGATGTAATTGTGTATGTGCGAGTGTTTGTATGGGGGAAGAGAAGAGAGACACCAACGCCTACACAGTTTATTATCATTTTCAATATCTTGTTGATGATGTTTGTTGGATAAATTGTTAATACTTGATGTTACTCAGCCTTTTTGTACTGTCGATTATCCTCAAATCGATCGATTCGTATTAGAGAACTTTTCAGATAGTTCAATTCCTATCAAATGAACTGACTTGTTTTAACAGTTGGTTAACTCATTTTATCTGAACTTATGAGCTAGAGTTGATCGGCTCCTACTTGTATCGTCTTATTGATAGATGCAATCTTTATTGAGCACTTTTTCACCTTCAGATCATGTTGTAATGGTTATTTTTCATTAAAAAAAGTGTTAAACTATTTGCATAAATAAGTCTCTGAGATCAATTGACACGCAGGAATAAGACATGTACCAAAATTCACAAAAAAAATATACTGACATGACGTATTGAAAACTCTGTTCATTTCATTAATAGCTAGTAACGACCAATAGTCAACCCTAATCTCAATACAATAAAGTGTTATAAATCAATCAATATCGGTGAAGTATATAATTGGATAAGGTTAGCATTCATGACTGCTTGACTGATAAAATATAAATCTATTGCCTTTGCCTTTCAATCATGCTCATATTTTTCTACTGGAATGAGGAACTTGCTTTGTTCTATTCTATGATGTATTTAGTTTTGAATGAAACATTTCAGAGAGTGAGAGTGAGCGAAAGCAAAGACCAACCATTCTTTATACATCACTTGTTACTCTTCTCATCTACACATAATCTACTCTCAATATTTGATGTATATCAATGTTGATATGATAAAATATAGATAATGCGTAGTTTTATTTTGATAACTGTTCAACTTTCGAGAAGTTGCGACGAATTTCTATTTAACATTGTTTTTTTCTTAATATTACTGATTTTTTTATTGTTCATTATATTCTATACTCATATTTACCCAGTCAATCAGCGAGTGATTGCATTATCTTCATCAATTCAAGTACAATGAATTTGCATTTCACAAACATTCATCGATTATTATTCAATTATTCATATAATAATATTAATCTGCAAGAACATCTAGGTCTACATAAGTGAATAGGTTTTAAGTCAAAGAAAACTGATTACAAGCATAGAAAGGCTGAAAATTATTCTGATTTACTCCACAGATCAGGGCTACGAAACGTCACCTTTCTTGGATCTCTGATAAAAACTGACACGAATAACGACCATCTCATGCAGCATCGATGTATATTCAGATGGTTATCTATCAACGACACAATTTGGATGATATATTATCTCAAATCTCAAACAAAAGGCATAACTGTTCATTACAACATATTCGAATAACATCTTTATTGATAAACAAAGATCTCGCCGGATAAGACTCAACATCTGCCACCCTACGAAATTATATGAAAGTTATATATTCTGAAAGCCCATTTTTCGGCGCACATTTTCATATATTTTCTTTGACTGAAAAGCTTGAGTATAGAAGTGCCAGCGAATGATCTTGTGAACACCCCTTAACGACTGTTATGAATACCATGGTAATTAAAAAAGCCTGTGCTTTTGATTTCAGAAGGGTCGGCTCAAAGTTTGTCATATACTATCGATAGATGCAGCAAAATGTACTCTAGAAAGTGATATTAATCTATAAACTTTAAGTTGCTCTCATTAGGAGCTATAAGATCCACAAGTATTAGGCAGTCTGCATAAAATATGAATTTTAGGCTACTTTCGACAATTTGTTTCCATGATTTTATTGTTATTGTCCATATAGACAAGATGAAGGCTATTATAGAAAAAATCCTCGTGATTTGCTCTACAAAATGAGATAAGTTTGAAAAAAATAAAAGTAGTTCCAATATTGAATATTGGATTATTACTTTTGACTATGAGGTATTTTCTACAAGGAACGGATCAACACGTACTTTGAAAGTATTTGAAAAGTTTCTTCGAATAAGATAAATTATACCTAGTAAAGATTAGCATACGACCTTCTATCGCCTTCCATAAAAATATTCTTCAAATTGGAAAAAAAGTTTTCGAAAAATTCCCGTACCCTATCTTGAGGATGTGGGTGTGGGTGTAACGATTTAACCGAGTCTGAGCACAAACCATGCACCCACACCCACACCTCACAGCAAAGAAGTACCTGATTGAGTTTTATCAAACTTTATGAAATTTTATCTTGAAGTTTCAATATTTGTGCTTCGATGATGTGCATCATGAAGCGATATTGTAAAAGTTTTAAGTCCGATAATTTTTTTTTACCAATACAGTTATTCAATAGAAGGTCTTAAGACGATTTGCTCACTGATCTGTTCGACAATTTTGACAAATTCTTGTAAAGAATAGCATTTACATTAGCAGTCACTTTTCTATTAAATTCAACTAAGTTTAATGCTGATTCATTTGTTAGATTCTCATATCGATCAATACAATGAAGTCCACCAATCATAAGTGGAACATAGTCAACTAATTTTTCATTTTTAGCTAATCCAGTTAGTAGAAGTAAATGAAACTTAAAAGTTTGAGTACTTTTGATTGATGAATGTTCGTTGATTTTAATTGCTTCTATAAGTAGACATTTTTTTGTTTCGTTTGATAAAGGTAAAAGTTGATAAAAACGATCGATTAAGCTTGACAACTAGTATTCGTTTAACTCTGTTCGATGATAAACAGCAACATTAAAAAGAAAAACGAAGTCCATATCATGACATTTTGAAGTTCGTGATAAAAGGTAGCTCTAAACAGAGGATAATAATTTTAGTTATGAATATATTCTCAATTATATTGAAAATGTTATTAGAATTTCTACTCTCCGCACTTACGTATTCATATTTTCGGAATTCTCTTCTAAATAACAATGTAATACTTGTTCATATTTTCTCTGATTGAAATTATAGTCTCCAAGTTTTTGCCATTCAATCTTTGAAGTATTTAGTATTTCTATGGCTAATGATGAGTCTGTTTGTAGAGATCTCCACAAGACTGCAATAATATATCGTCGTTATTGCTGAGAGCTATAGTTTCATTTTGACACTCAATACCAGTTGTTCACACTTATGTTGCCAATAATAAGGAAATTTGAATTTATTTCAATTTGAATCGAAGTAGGTATGTATCAATGCTAAACGTCAAATAATTTGAATATTTTCAGCGGTTTTTTTTTCATTGATAAAACTGTATGATCAATCCGATCGTCTAGTTTATTATCGGTTGATAATAATATTTTACTTAAATAAAAAAACAATAGGATTGTCAATTTTATCTAGCTTAACTAGATCGTCATACATCGTTTTATTAATAAAGAGTAATATTATTGCTACTATTGAATACTGATTTTTGCAAAAAAATCGATCGAGATGCTGAATCCATATATCAATGATAAGTTTAACACTGTAAAAACAAAATAATGCTAATCGTCGTTGACTTTTCTGCAAAAACTCTTCACCTAACTCTATCCAATTAATTGGTTCATAATGTTTTGACTTAATACATAGAAGACACTCGTCAAGCTTATTGGCTTCATCGAAATAAACATATTTTGATAATAAATCTTGACTAGTTAATTTTAATTGTTCATCGAACAGGAGACTCTTTATCGCATAATTATATGAATCATCAATCGATGATTTTGCTAGTGTTCAATATTCAGTGCCTTGCTCAAATAGAATTCGTCGATCTGCTGTTGATATCAAACGCATGCAAGAAACTGCCAGAGAGTATTTCTTTTTTAAACACGCCGCTGTCATAATATTTAATAATTCGTTCTATTGTATTTTTGAATAGCAATAACACTGTAATGCTAAAGAGTAATAGTGTAATTGAAAAAAATGTTGTCCAGGGTGTTTATAATAAGATATTAAATCTTCTTGCCTATACTGCCGAAGTAAGGCTAAATAAGTGTGAAGACAATTTGAAGTATCTTTTTCAATTGCCTGCTTCAGACAATTGTATACAGTCTGATCTTCTACTTTTAGTATCTCATGTGCACATGCTTTGTATACTGTAACTGGTTTAACACAATCCAAATGAGGAACACTTGCAGATAGTAGATAATTATAACGTTTTGTTACACCACACATATGACAACAATAATGATGGCGAAAGAGATGAAATCTTTTTCCACAATCTTGACAATTCGTGTCTAAACTCGACCAAAAACATTTGCGATGAGTTTTGAACTGTATAATAAAAATCGTCGACATTGATATGACACTTAAGCAGATCGCTGTTCTTAAATTCGATACAAAATCTATCAAAAATAGGTATTCTTGTTCCCGGAACTATGTTGGTTGTGCCTGACGAGTTTGTTTGTATTTCAATGAATTGAACCATAGAAGACGGCTTCAACCCGTTCGAAAGCAATTCTATCCGTTAGATATCGACGAATTTTTTGATGTGTCAAATAATGTTTGATACGATCTCGTAACTCGATATTCATGATCATCTAGATGTAGAAGAATTTGTTTACATGTAGAACATACACTGCATTTATTGATCTCGCCGTTGCTATCAAAATAATCATCCAACTGTTCAAGTATATCAATCAAAATTGTGGTAAATTCTTCATGAAAATTATCATAAATATTCAAATATTCACATTCGTTTGTTCATGTATTTATCTTTTCGACAAAATTTTCGGACCATTTTTTATTCACATGCAATTTTGCTCATACACTACGATCATCAAATAGAACATCATTATCATCATCTCCATCATTATTGAAATCCTGATTGGTAATGTATTCATTACGAGTAGCTTCGTATGAAAGAGTTTCATATGCTTTTTGAAGAACTTTAAACATTTCAGTAGTATTTGGATCTGAACTTCTATCGAGATGAAGTAAACGAGCTTGCTTACGATAAGCTTATGTGATTATTCTCATCGATGCTGAGAACTCGATAATGACTTTCTTGATTCATTTTTTTTCTACAAAGAAATTATTTTTGGTATTACTGCACTGGTCAATAGTACAGATTTTTATCGATTTCTCTAGCTGGATAAGCATGCATGACATAGTTCTAGAAAGAGAATATACAAAAACCTATCGAGATTTCCTGACGACAGTTAGTCAAGAGAGAAAATTTGATTTTATCGCGGACAACGAAAAATTGACCAAAGGCCTGTACGAGTGTGAATATTGTTTTGTTCCTCTGTTGTATCCACATTCACAACCATTTACATTCATCAATAGAAATGAATTTTATTCAACTGCTCTTGTATGTTTTTTTTTTGTTGAGAAACAAAAGTTGATGTGTTATCATTTGAAAATAACTCACATGCACACTTTACACTATCGTCAAAGAAAAATAAACAAGTGTTGCTGTGCATTAAACAATTTACTTTGATCATAGAGATTGCAAACATTTAATAAAGCTGTCACAACAGAGATAAATGAACGAATTAATTTCACCACCCGCAGCTGGTTTATCTTTTAATAACTTTTTCTCTTTTTTCACATGCTTAAAACAATGATGTGAATATATTCGATATAGCCACTGGTCAATAAAACAGGAGAAAAAAAAAACATGTATAGACATAATGAAATGATTTGAAGTCGACAGCTGCTATGTTCATTCACTCTTTTTATATTCTTATTATTGACTGGATCATTCAATTTTAGATAGTCATGCCTTTCGCACTAAACCAATTTCCAATCGAAATTCTTCGCATGATTTTCGATTATTTCTGGGCTCATGAAATTCTACACATGTTCTTTAACATAAACGATCATTTCAATCGTATTCTATTCAATTATGACAAATATATGATCAATTTTCAATCAATTCGTAAAACACATTTTGATCTTGTGTGTCGTCTTATTCGTCCGGAACAAGTTATTTCATTAATTCTAGCTGATGAGAAAGAAACACCTTGCCAATCTCAATTGTTTCAAGCTCACTTTCGAATCGAAAAATTTACTTGCTTACGTTCATTACAATTAATTGAATTAGCCGATGATGGTCAATCCTTATTATCGAAATTACACAAAGTGCAAAGTCTTGTTTCTCTTGAAATCAATATTCGATTTGATCTTCCATTGATTAAGACTTTGCCGTCAATAAAAACCCTCATTATTAATTTTCCATCAGGTGTGCAGTTTGATATACGACGATTCGTTGGTTCACTCGCATTGGAATATGTACGACATTTATCTATATCTTATTGTTCACTTGGTGCATTTCTACATTTTTTTAATGAGATGCCTCAACTTAAATCATTTAAAACTTCATTGTTATTGTTCAAGCCTATAGAAGTTAATATATTCGCTTATATTCACCAAATACAAATAACACCAGTTGATCTCGTTTCTCTATCATTAACAATCAATGCGCCCGGTAAGTTGTGTAGGATCGCATGAAAAATTATATTTCAAATGTTTTTTTTCTTTCATTCTATTTAAGCTCAAGAACTAACGAATAATCATTTTGAACTATTTCTTACTCCATTTAAACGTTTGCAACAATTAGAACTAATCATTGAAACTTATGTAGATTATGAATTTTTTAATGCTAATCAATGGGAAAAATTTATTGTAGAACATTTCCCAAAATTAACGACTTTTAATTTTAAATTTTCCGCAAGTTTTATCGAACGAGAAATAATTGATCGATTTCGTTCTCCATTTTGGTTGAATAAACATTGGTTTGTTGCTTTTGATCCACACAGTCAAACATTATTTACCGTACCTCATTTTGCTTCAACTAAAACGAGTAGTTCAATTACTTCGGTGTCATCAGATTGGACAACATTACCTCTTGAACAACATATTATTTTTTATGATCGTGTTAATCAATTAAGATATGAATTAGATCAATCAGAACATTTATATCGTTATAATCATGTGAAAGAACTCATTTTTGATGATCCTTATATGTATGATAATAATATTGCTGATGTATCCAAAGTAGAATCATTAATTATTAATACATCGGATTGGACATTGGACAAAATTGTTACATTGATTAAAACCGCAATGCCTTGTGTCAATTATCTTCGTCTCAATTGTACTCAAACGAGTTTACAAGACAAATATTTCCCTGATATTTCATTATCACAAATTCGACGATTGTCTTTACCTCAATTTGGTCGATACAAAGAAAAAATTCAATTCAATTGGTCAAAAGTTTTTCCATGTGTAGAACGATTAACTGCTTCGATTAATTCGAAAAAACAAATTGTATTTTTAATTGATCATTTCAAAAATATGATCAGTGGTTTCTTTGTTCTTGATGAATATCACTTTGATAAGTATGATAAAATCAAAGTAGAACGTCAATGGTTGAAGAAACATAGTTGTCGTTTAAAAGGCAAAAAAGAAAATGACTTTATATGCGAAATTAACAGTAAATATAGTTTTTCATTGTGTTTATGGATGAGTTAAAACGATGAAATAAATAAATAAATAAAACATTAATGATATTGATACTGTTCATAAAAATCATTTTTTGACAGTCAATATTTTAAAAATGCACGATCGATTATCAATTGAAGAAAAGCATTGTATACTTTATATAATAATGAAGTATTTTGTACTATTCACTAATGAGCTACGATACATAGAACGTGAAACGATGCTTGCATCTAAGTATTACGATAAGAACCAAGTGAAAAAAAAGATTGATGATTCTCTTAAACACAGTTTCATATAAGAGGGAAAACATTCGAAATTGTTTGAATAAAAATGTCTGTGTACTTGTGTGTTGCTTCATTTCTGTTACTATCCACATGTTCAAAGCATTGGAATATTCGGTTGATTATAAATCAGTGAAAGATCTTCATTATCGAATCGAATCCGTGTATGATCTACCAGAGATCCACGAGTCAGTCAGAAAAGCGATTCGCGGATGTGGATATAAATAAAAAAAGGATTAAACTCACACTAAAATTTGAGATTTCTAATTAAATTCTTTTCGCAAACCCATGAGTTTCTCTCACATCTATTGAATTTTTTCTTCTGGTTATATCTCTAGTGTGAGATGACCGGAGTGTGAGTATCGCTAGGCATGATTATTTCAGTCGTCCATAGCAACTCACAGTCATCCACATTCGGGCGCACCCCTGGCAAAATATTCTTCTTAGAAGAAACTTTAGAACGAACTAATCTTTGTATGCGTTTATCTTTACAGTTATCGTTGTGATAATGCAAAATTTTACTTTCATGCTGCTATCCATTATTTTTGTGAAACTAAATAGGAAAAAAATTTTGTTTTAGGTTTCAGATAGAAGTCTTGTTATGCAATAAACAATGAATAGAAATGTTTGTTTTAAAGTAGTGCTATTAGGAGATGACTGTGTTGGCAAAGTAAAAGATTTCGTAAAAAGTAGATTTCAGTGGAGATGATCTTTTGAATTCTTTGTATTAGACTTCAATTGTTTTATGTGCTACAGAAAATTTACTTAGCTCTATAGACCTTGCAACAATAAGACTAAGCTTATGGTTTGGCTTTGATGAATATCTAATGCTTTATTTTGTCAGGCTTCCCATAAAACAAAAAAGTTAACTATAAATGATCATTGGGTTTTATCTATTATATATTTATGTGTTGAATTTTGATTTCAAAACTCTTGTCAATGCTTTTATTTATTAGGATACAACAGGAACTGAACAATTTCGAGAATTTAAGTATTAATAGCTGTTGTATTCAACATACTTTTTCTATCAAACTTTATTTTATTATTAGTTATGCATATTATAGTATAGTAAATGGTGCCATAGTTGTATTGGATTTAAGACATGAAGATTTATTCGATCAAGTATATTGATCTCATTCAGAGAAATAAATATCATCAAATAAGATTCTACTTATTTATTTACTGGTGACAAATAAATAGACTTCAAGAATTAAAATAAATGCTTGGTGGTGATGTTGTTTTAAGCATTATTGAAAATAAATCTGATCTTGAAGAAGATCGTCAAGTATCCATGAAAACAGCCAAAGAGTATGCTCAATTGGTTAATACCAAACTGTTGCATACATCAGCTAAATTAAATGAAGACAGTGAAGAAATTTTTAATGATTTAGTTGCTTGTAAGTTTGTTTTCAAAAGATATAATACTAAGAAAGGTACCATCAACTTTAAATAATTTGAGAATTCAACTGAGTGGAGTTCAATTTCGAACTTGACAGGAGTAGCTTTCTTATGAAACTCAGTAGATGCAACTCACGTCGGTTTCTTATTTAAAAAAGTTTACAATAAATTCAACGAGTTAGTCGAAGAAAACATAGAAAATCCTGGATGTGGATGTGGGTGTCGCACACGGATGTAGCCATGGTATAACAGGGTACCCCCTTGAAAAAAAATGTGTGGAGGAGAGTACAGGGTGCAAAAATTGTCCACATAATCAAGGCTTTTCTCTCTTGGGTAGCAACTCCCTTAAAACTTTCTAGATATCTTCCTTTTAGCGCATCAATACTGAAAACACACAAAGACAGTCACACCAACATCCTCATGGCGTATGTATCACGATATTCCCAAGTACAACATTTGTGCAATCAACATTTGGAGACAAAACCGTAAACGGGAAAGAACATATTTATTTCCTCAATAATTTATCAATATAAGAGATCTATTTGGTTGATGTCATCAAGTTTATCTTCGTGGTTTATGGCTGTCAATCATTTATGTTTGTTAACCTTTGGGGAACAAATAAGAATCCTCATGAGAATGTTTTGTTTATTTGATTTCATGAGTTTGTTGTATTATTTTCAAGAAATTTCGACGTTCTTCTAAGAAAAACAAGCAGTGACTCAATGTTGAAAAAAAGAATGAAACAAAAAGATTTGAACGTAATGCTAATGTGAATTTAATACTTTAGTCTGCACGGGAACCGTTATATTCATTTATTCTTGGCTATTAATTGTTATAACAAATAAGGGTATATCAAGTAAAGAAGCAAATCAAGAGAATAAAAACAAAGGCACCTTGGAACATGAAAGTATGTTTTGGTATTATAGATGAAAAAAATATTTTCTATCATTTTTCAAACGGAATGCAGTCACTCCCTCTAGCATCCTAGTTTGGATCGTTCTCGTCGCTTTGATCCAATGTAAAATAAAAAAAAAGGAAGAATAGAAATGTGCTTAAATGTTTAACAAATATACCTCTGCGACGGGAACATCAAATTCATTAGCAGTACCACCAATCTCAACTGATGGTTCATTATCCTTTTCATTGATTGACGAAGTTCCTTTGATGAAGTAGTTTTGAACATCATAATTGTGTGGATAAAAGTGGTCAACACCATCACGAACACTACGATAGCTAAAACATATAGAGATCCTAATTCAATTTGATCGATTACATAGCAAAATTTACCATGCTTTGTCCCAGTTACGGCTTCTCACGATTATTCGTCAAATCTTGATCACTTTCACTGTCATCTATCATCGACAATCATCTTCGCCCTCGAAGAAAGGGAATCGAAAGTGACCGAGGAAGGAGAACTGAAGGCGATCGCGATCATCATACGATGTGTCTTTTCTCCACTACATGACCAGCCTCACCGTTATCCATGTGTGCAGTCCATTGAAGTTGTGGAACGTAATCAATGCATAGAAAATGTTAA